CAGGGGGGTCCGGTAGCCCCTATCTTCATTTTGGTTGCCCCTGTCTGGCTGACATCTTGTGTCCGGGTTTCTGCTGCCATGAAACCCGAACACAGCATTCAAAACCCGGACTGTCCGGGTGAATCCTGGACAGGTGGCAACCCTACTGTTAGCATAGCTTTAACTCATCTGTGGAGTATAAGTACATTTCAAGATGTGTGCAACATAATTTTCTATATTGCTAGCACTGGTAGTGTTGAAGGGGGTATTGGTTGGGATATTTGTAGCAGTGGATGTGATTTATTTTTTCCAAGGGGCCGTTCTTCTGCAACACAGTTTCAATGCTAACAGCAATAACTCTATCTTTGCAAACGTTAACCCTGTTATTATATATAAAACAAGCTAGCTATGATTGATGTAGGTCTATAAATGTCCCACAAATAATTATTATGTGGGCTGAGGTCCCACAACCCTAGCCCCAATAGACACTTTTATTTTGATTGGCCTAAAAAGAATGCCACTAGTCCATCTCCACAAATACTAGACTTTTACCAGTCTATCAAAGGGTATATGTGTGATTATCAGAGATGATGTGATTATCAGAGTGAAATCCAATTCACAACTCCTATTGATCCAGTCTGAGATTAAATAGCTGGTCCACCAACTTCATAAACACTAGAAATGTGAATGTTTGCCCTGAGCTGTGTTCAGTTGCTCAGCCGCTGCGACTGCTGAGTTGGCAAACTGCCGCTGAACGCTGTGTTGCAAGTCAGCGCTCAGCACTGCTAACTAAGCACTTGCCGTGAATGTGGATACAGGGCACTGAGTGGGACAGAGAAGGTGGGGACATCTGGTAGCACTGGAGAATGGTGCCTGAAGGACATCAATTCAGTGTTGGAAGCTACAATTCAATATTTTGGTGGATGTGCACACCATATATTCACTGGAAAATGGTGTTTATTAGTCAAAAATATTATCCTTTACCTTTTTCTTTGCACTGTGCAGCCAAAACATTCAGTGAATCTGCTGCAGCGAACTGAAGTGCTGCAGAACAGCTACTCAGCGCTTGGCTAAGGAACTAAACATGCCTCTGATTCACCAATTTATTAAAAAAAGATGTTTAAAAATCCTTGTAAGACTTTTTTTCATCCATGCAGTGTCTACTCTTCTGTCCAAAACTCTAAAAAGAGTTACATGTTAGGATGGGGAAAAAAGCTCCCATGAATTTAAAGGACTTTCAGCTCCAGCCTAATTAAACAAGAGTGATTCATGGTCCATTTTTTTTACACATCATTGCTAAATGCAATACACATACATTAGTGATTATTGTGGTTAAAAAGAAAGTAATGTTTCCACAATGCTCCTTTAGAATAACATTAACCTCCTAGTTCCTGTAAGTGATAGGAAAGTCAGTACCTGGATGGTGTTTTACAATTAGGGAGTTCATTTTTGTATGGCTCCTTGTTGAAGTACTTGCACAAGGGCAGCTAGGTTGGTATTTGCATGGAGGAGGGTGCATGACCTTGTAGGGGGAAACCTTTTCATTTGATATATATATTCAAGGCTGGTATCCATACATTTGTTAAATAACTTTTTTTCTTAAAAAAACATAAACTGGCCTCATCTGATTTGAAACGCAAATCTAGGAGATTGAGTTGCACATTTCCTTTTGTGGTTATGCATAAGGAACCTATTTATGCACATAATTTCTGTGTCTGTCCATATGTATCCCTTTGGTGACACCTGCTGATCTCACTGCATGCATATACTGGACCTGTAAGGGTCAGTGGAAGCCTCCACATAAACAACAATAGTTTGCCTAGGGGAAGTGATAAGTGTGACATGTCATAAAACTGACAATCATATCCAGGTGTGGCTCCTGTGATTCTTATAGCTCTACTTCTAGCTTTTGATTGATTGATTTGATTGATGATGAGCAAGGATAACGAGACATTATGAAATTGCAAGTTATATCTTGATAGTCAGTCATCCTGCCCATTTGGGCAGATCTGCTACAGAACTTTCAGAGGTCTAATATGTATTATGTATATGTAAAGCCACATGTAAATCCACATGTTCATGACAAGCATTACACATCTTAAGCTTTAATTGCAGAACTAATTTTTAGTGAGCAGTATACACAAATGACTTACATAGACTAAAGTTTAAAACTGACCTTAAGGAGATTATTCTATAAATGGTGTAATTCAAATGGTTTAGCCAGACACTAGAGGTAATAAGGATTTGTACATTAATAGAATTAAAGGACATACTTAAACCTTATTTAACCTGTAACTCTACTCTAGAGTTTAATCACTGGATTCTAAAACTTGCTAGGCAGGCTTTTGTCTCATTGCTGATATCTTACCTGCTGCATAGGTATTAAAATTATTGATTTTGGCTATTTCACATTATACATAACAATCATTTGACTATTAAATCATTTATAACTCATGCTGTTACCTTCCTTCACCCAAGGTGTAGGTCAGAATGACAGAGAAAAATCAGTGAAAAAAATCTTAATATAAAGGAGGATAGCATGAAATCTGCTCAATAATACATTAGATTGCTGTTATCAATGTGAGAATTTAAACTGCTACTAAATATTAATGTAACTTGGTTCATGTTTCAGATATTGGAGAACATGTATTTGTTCACATCAGCCAGCATGCTAAACTGGGTTGTTTTAGCATCCAGGCTGGTGTGCGATTTGTAGTGGCATTTAGGGGAGGTGCCTTGTGTTGTTACAACATGGCACTGTTACCTTTTTTTATTATCTGTGTTGGTAGGCATGGTTTTGGGAAAGGGAACACAAAACAAGGTCAATAACAGAACAATTTAAGAGTAGCTTGCTGTCTCCCTAGTTTCATTATTTATATTTCATTTTGTAATATGGGTCACCCACATAGATACCTTTCCAGAGTTTTTCAGGTAGCCCAACTATCATACCTCTCCCCATTCCAAGTGGAGACAAAGATAAAGGTTGACAGCAGTAGTGTGTCCGCTTTCAGACCACATCACACATTGTCCACAACAATGCTGGAGCACAGAGCCACATACCATTACTAACCAAGTACTAAACAAAATAGAAGCATCTGAACTAAGGATGAATGGAACTGCCTGTGTTCAGTTCCGGAACAGTGTCACAAATCTTGCTTAAAGTACAAACGTGGCTTCCGGTTCCGGCGCCAGATGACATAGCGGTGCTTTGCGGAGCTCCGTCCCGCCAACCACCAAACACCTCTCTCCTACCCTCTCAAACGGCTACACCGCGGTCGAAACTGCCCTACTAATCAAGCGGTGCACTCACCGGTCATGGATCGGTACCTTGCTCGATCTCAGACCACGAGACGAGCCCTGCAGCCTTCCCTGAGTGACGACCACTGTGCTCCCAAGATGGCAGACGCAGATGACATGCAGCTCAGCCAAGCTGATGAATCCTCTGGTGAGTCAGTGCAACTACACTCACAGGGGCACATTGACTATCAGCAGTTAGCTGCAGCAGTAGCCTCTCATCTTAAACCTGATCTCACCACCATTATAGCAGATTCTCTGCAGCAACATCTAGGCAAGTTAAATGCCTCACTAATGTCACAGGGCAAACAGATTGCTACCCTGGAATCCAGAGTAAATACTTTAGATGATGACTCATTCTCTGCACAGCAGAAAATTGATCATCTTTCCAAATCTGTTCACTACCTGTCTGATAAGGTTGACGACCTTGAGAATCAGTCCCGCAAGGTAGAAAGGGCACACAGAATTGGCCCACCTAGGGTAAACTCCAATCCCAGACCTGTGATAGTGCGCTTCCTGGACTACTCAGAGAAACACCAGATATTCCAGGCCTACCGTGCACAGCGCAACCTTATAGCAGGGGGTCACAAACTCCTCTTATTCGCCGACTATTCGGCTGAGCTTACGAAGCAGAGGAAGTCATTCCATGAAATCTGTCAGCAGCTTGTGTCCAAAAGGATCAAATTCTCACTTGCCTACCCGGCGAAACACTCAAAATAGCATCGCCTGAGGGGACAACCCTGCAATTTACCTCTCCTGATCAGGCCCAAAAATATCTCGCCTCCATCGCTGCACCAAACCTGGTGTCTCCTACTAAAAGCCCTCCCAGAAAAAAGAAAGTGTGATCTAAAAGGCACAGGAGCTCTGCATTGCCTCCAACTATCCCCTGTATTACAGGGAGGGATGTTATTACTTTCCTTCCACAGAGAGGGCTAGTTTCTTGCATATTAAGTCCACTCACTCTGGTGTTCTCAACATAAGTCTGATAAACAACTAGTTTCAAAGCCGGGACGTGGCTTCAGTTCGCCACACCGTTTTTACATTTACCGGGCTTCAGTTTCCAAATGGTCATTATTGACTGTTCGAGAAGCTTTTTTGTTTTGCACGCTCATCTGGAAAAAAGGAAGTCAATACAAGTATATTTTCACGTGATGTGTTTACAAAGGTTGTTCTATTCCATTTTGGGAATTTTTTTCTTGTTACCTTCTACTCATACTTCTTCCATGCTGTTGGGAGGATTAGCATGGGGCCCTCCTAACGCCCGAAAGTTGTTTTGGTCTTACTTTTTATTTCCAGTTCTGGACTCTCGACGAGGGGATACACATCTTGGTTGCACAAGAAGCACTGGGACACTTGATGGCAACCGTCAAATACATGGAATTTATTATCATCTACAAGCATATCAGCTTCCACACCTCGACCCATGGGAACCCCCGAAAACATTGTAACGTGGAATGTTAAAGGACTTTGTTCCCCTAACAAAAGGCGCAGAATTATCCGGCATTTACGTAAGATCAAGGCGGACATCGCGATGTTGCAAGAAACACACTTGCCAGCTGCTGACTTCAAACGTATGCAACAGGCATGGGTGGGCACAGTTATGGGCGCACCCGCTAATGGCAGATCAGCCGAAGTGATCACTCTCATAAGCAAGCATCTCCCACACACTGTGATACACCAACAACATGATACCTCAGAAGGCAGATGGTCCCATGTCTCTCTCTTACTTGGCACTTCCAACTTGGATCTTTGGAATATATATGGGCCTAATGCTGACAATAGACCGTTTTGTGACTCTGTCAAATATGAAACAGAACCGCAACCCGCAGTCCTACCTCCTGATAGGTGGGGATTTTAATGATACACCCAATACATTGGAAGACCGGTCTTGGTAATCCAGATCTCCCCCGCCTAAGCCCAGTCTACAGGACAAACATTTACAGTCTATGATCCAATCTGAGGGACTAATGGATATATGGCGCTTTCTCCATCCCATTGACAGAGAATATACTCATTTTTCTCATGTCCATAACTCAGTATCTCGCATTGACCTGTTCCTATCTGCCCCCAACCTTTTACCTAAAATCCGATCGGTCACCATAGAGGATCTTTTGATTTCCGATCATGCACCAGTATCGGTCATACTTCAGGGACTGGACATGCCCTCCCCCCCGAAAATCTGGCGATTTCCTGCTTACTTATACACGGATGACACTTTTCAATCTCTACTAAAATCTTGGTGGTATGAATATGCTTGTGATAATGTATCTTATGCTGATGATTATGTTCTTTTTTGGGAAGCTGCGAAGCCTCAATGTTCATAAAATACTTGTCTCACTAAAATATCTCAGACTGTCAGGGATACTGGTGACCCCACACCTGCGCAGGTACCCACACAGGCAGACCAAACACTTATGACCACACCGGACAGGGCAGAATGTTTTATATACAGTTTAATCAACAGCAAACTAAACAACACCCAAAAGCAAACATAAATAAGTAACATCAACCAGACTACTAGCAGGTAATGGCAACAGGAGGACAAGCAGGTAATGGCAACAGGAGGAAAGGCAGGTAATGGCAACAAGAGGCAAGGCAGGTAATGGCAACAAGATGTATCTAGGCCTGCAAATGGGTAACCGGGCTCGGGACACAAACAGGGTACAGGACTGGTAACAGGACTCTGGACGGAAAGCAGGGTTCACAGGACTGGGGACTCAGGGTTCAAGTTTCAGGAAACCGGAAACGATACTGAGCCATCATCCTGACTGCAGGGAGGGTTTAAATATCCTCCCAGGAAGCACCAGGTGATGGCTTAGTACTGGCAGCTGGGAAACACCCGCAGGTGAGCACTGGAGCTGCAGGTCTCAGCTCCTGCGCCACCTAGAGGCGCTATGGATCCTAACACAGACTTAATGATTCTTCTCGGTGTCCAAAAGCGCTTTTAGCTTTGGACGCAGAGAAAGCATTCCACAATGTTAATTGGGGATGGCTTAGATTAGTGATGGCTCACATCGGTTTTTCCGGTACTTTCATGAACTTCATATCAACCATGTATAAAGCTCCCACAGCACGTGTATACACTTCCAGCGCCCTTTCCTCGCCATTTCCTTTATACAAGGGCACCCGCCAAGGCTGTCCCTTATCCCCACTCTTATTTAACTTAGCCATCGAACCCCTATCTCATTCTCTGGCTTCATCCGCAGAATTTACGGGTGTACGTCTGGGCCCCCATGATGTCAGGTTAGCACTGTTTGCAGACGATATCCTTTTGTTCTTATCTGATCCCCCCACCCAAATACCTGCCATCATGCAACATCTCACCCTATTTGGCACATTTTCGGGGTTGAGAATAAATTTTGATAAATGTTAAATACTCCCCTTATCCAAAAATCATACCATGAACACATCCTCATGGCCTGACCCAAACAAGATCCAAATTAAACACAGATCCATTCGTTACCTAGGTATTGATATTCCTCGTTTAGCCACTGAATTATATGCTTTGAACTATGACCCCCTCATACAAAAAATTGTTGCGGATCTCCAGAGCTGGCGGGACCTCCCTCCTTCCACCATGGGCAGGTGCCATCTCATTAGGATGATCAATTTTGCACGTTTATTATACCCCATGCAGACTATTCCGTTACCCATCAAACACAAGGACATTCAAACACTAAACAGGGCCTTCTCTAAGTTTATATGGAAGGGGAAGAAGTCCAGGATAGCGCTGATCAAAATGCAACACCCCGCTTTACACCTCGGGGCCAACGTACCGAATATTAGACTTTATAACCTGGCCAGCATTTTTCGCCATGTACGAGATTGGCTATCGGATACGTCATTCTTCACTAATACCCCCCTGGAGCAACACCTAGTGTACCCATGGTCACTTTTGGGTATCCTACACACCACTTCCCAATTTGCCTACTCACCTAAAGAGTAATATACTCTTAAGGGACACAATTGAACTTTTAAACTCTTAAGGGACACAACTAACTTCTAAACATGCCCGGTGTGGTATCCCCGCTCATGCCTATCACTTCTACCCCAGCCTTCCCAGCAGGCCATGACTTGTCAGTATTCCGTCAATGGAAACTTCGAGGCATACAATATCTCAGAGACGTACTCACGCCTCAAGGCCTTTGTAAACCCTTGAAGACCCTTCTATGTCTGCAAGAAGCCACTGACAACTTTGATAGCTAACGGCTGTTAGCCACTTTTGGTTTGTTTTGTTATTTCTTAATATTCTCTATACATGTTCCATGTGATTCGTCACTAACAACAATGACGCTTTTGTATCACAAATGAAAAATAAAATATTGTACATCATTGTCTAGTATTTTTGTTCTGTACTTTTATCACAGTAAACAAATTGATATGCAAAAAAAAAAGTACAAACGTATTGATCCTCGCAACAAACCCCCTGAAAGTATGGTGTAGGCAAGTTTTGTTATTCAATTCTGGCCTTCTGTAGGGCTAGTAAGCAAACTATGGTCAAACTAAAGGCACAGCATATCTCCCTATACAGCATTATCAACTCTCTCTAACAACAACACACCAACAAAATGGCTGCTGTGAGCCTCCCATTCAATGGGAATTTTTTTTTGTTGCTATTCTGACATCTCTTCGTGTCAGAATAAAGAAAAAAAAGAAACAGCAGTGTTTCTCTCCTGGGCGGCCAGGAGCGGGAGGCTCCCAGAGTGCCCGGGAGTGGACAACATTTTGAAGATTTTTGACCAGAACGGCTGGAGGACGGTACATGACCACCATATATGCATATAAGTGCCACTAGCAGAGCAACCGCGGAAGCAAGTGCCCTCGCAATCCAGCACAAAGTGTTGGGCCTGTGAGGGGGTAATATACCAGCGGAGTAGTAGTTTATAATTGGTCTCGAGTATTCTGGCGCTCTTAGAGCAGTTATTGGTGGATGTCCATATCTGGGACCAGGTGTCTTCGGGAAACACAAGGTCCATGTCTTTCTGCCAGCGGTCCATATATGGGTGGTGTGGGGTTTGGGTGGATTGTAGGGATGTAATATATAACTGCGAAATAATACCGGGAGAGTGGGGGTCTCATTTACAAATTGTTTCAAATGGAGACAAAGTCTGTAAGTTTCCATTTTGATTGCTATTGGCTTGTATAAAGCTTTTTATTTGTAAATAACGAAAGAGTTCAGAGGCTGGGATTGAATGTTGTGATTGTAGATTTGGGAAAGGAATTATATTGTTAGTATTATAGAATGAGTAAAAGTGTGTGACACCCTTTTCTTTCCATTTATGGAAAGTAGCTGGGGAGTCGAGTGCCGGGGGAAAAGCTGGGTGCTGTAAGAAGGAGAGCATGGGTAGGTGCGGTGAAAGGAGCCCGCTGGAATATTTAGAGGCATCCCAAATGCGGAGTGGATGACATGTGATAGGGTTCGAGATTCCCTTCCTGTGTTTGGGGGTGGATCCACAGGAGATTGTCTATGGTCAATGGATCGCAGTCTATGGCTTCGATGGAGACCCATAAAGGTGTTTCAGTGGACGCGTGGTATTTAGCTACAGTAGCTAATTGAGCGGCGTAATAATATTTTTGAATGTGTGGTACGCCTAGACCGCCAGAGCGTCTACTCTGATACATAGAGCTCGCCGGTATCCTAGGCTTCTTGTGTGACCAGATGAAGGAAAGGAGTAGCCTCTGTATGACTCTGAGTTGGTGGAGGGGTATTGGGGCGGGTAAAACCCGGAATGGGTATAGGAGTTTTGGCAATATGGTCATCTTGATCGCAGCAATTCTACCTAACCACAAATTTTGAGAAGATTCTTAAGTCTGGTGAATAAGGGGGGGGGTAATTAGCGGAATATATGGAGGAGTGAGACAGGGTCAAGTGGATACCCAGATATTTTAGGGACGTGGCTTCCCATTGGAACTGATAATTAGATTTCAACAAGTTGAGTGTATGAGATGGTAATGTTATGTTGAGGGCCTTGGATTTAGAGGTGTTAAGGTGTAGTCCTGAGAGGGTGCTGAAGGAGTTTAGAAGGCTTAGTGAGTTGGGGAGGTAAATATGGGGGTTGGAAATAAAGAGTAAGATATCATCTGCGAAAAGGCACAATTTATGATGGTGTCCTGCTAGTGGGATGCCTGTGATATCAGGGTGGTTTCTGATTAGTTGTGCAAGGGGTTCTATAGCCAATGCAAATAACAATGGCGACAAAGGACAGCCCTGTCTAGTACCCCTAAGGATGGGAAAGGGGGCAGATCTATGACCAGCGTACTTCACCGATGCGGTAGGGTTAGAGTATAAGGCTGTGATCCATGTACAGAATTTCGGTCCAAAACCCCACTTATTGAGTATATAGAGTATATCAAACGCCTTTTGTATGTCCAATGATAACAACATAAACGGAATGCCACGGCGATTAGCTTTTTCAATCAGGAGACAGGCTCTGCGTACATTGTCGCCGGCTTGGCGCCGGGGGATGAAAACGACCTGATCCTTATGGATAAGGGTGGTAATGATTAAGTTGAGCCTAGTTGCCAACACTTTGGCCAATATTTTAACGTCAATATTTAGAAGTGATATTGGCCTAAAGTTGGCCCAGTGGGTTCCATCAGAGTCTGGTTTTGGAAGCATGCAAATTGTGGCTACGAGGGATTCTGTTCTAAATTTGGATCCATTATGAACATCGTTAAAGGCCGTCAGTAGAGGCGCTAATAATTCGGAATATTTTTTGTAGTAAGTGGCGGTAAAGCCGTCGGGGCCTGGTCTCTTATGTAGCTTAAGGGTTTTTATGGCAGATATTACTTCCTGTTCAGTTATGGGGGCGTCTAGGGCTATGCGGGACTGTTCTGGCATTTCTGGCATGGACACCCCAGAGAACAATGTTGAGGCTGCAGCGGGGTCGAACGTGGAGGTGGAATTGTAAAGCGTAGCTAGGTGTTTGGAGAATTCGTGGACAATTTTGTGGGGGTTACTAGACAGGGAGTTATCCAAAAGGCGGAGGCGAAAGGGTTTTTGGTGCAGGTCTATTTTGCGCAATTGTCTAGCAAGGAGAGTGGATTGTTTTTTGCTTTGGAGGTAAAATTTGTGTTGGGTTCTACGCAAGCTTTTGTCAGCAAAGCTGGTGAGCAGGAGATTTAGATCCCTTCTGGCTTTTTCCGCTAGGGATTTGTTGAGAGGAGTTGGACGCATACTAAAGGATCTAGAAGCGTCGTTAAATTTAGTCTCTAGATCCAGTAAGAGGGACATTTTCAGTTTTTTTATAGTGGAAGTTACTCGTATACATGTACCATGCAGGACTGGTTTATGTGCCTCCCATAACGTGGTGGGGGAGATGTCTGGGGTTTTGTTATGTAAAATATAGTCTTGCAGTGCGTATTCAATGGTTAGTAGTGTGCTACTGTCTGTGAGGAGGGAATCGTTCAAGGTCCAGGAGCGATCAGTATGTTGAGACCATAAGGAGGACAGCGAGAGGGTCACTCCATGATGATCAGTCCAGGAAAACGGGACGATACTGGAGTTGACCACTGTAGGGAGGGTGGGGTGCGATACGAAAAAATGATCGATCCTGGAGAATGAATCATGTGGGTTGGAATAAAAAGTGTATTCCCTGGAAGTTGGGTTCATCTGTCTCCAACAATCAACTAGCGAATTTTGGGAGAGAAGTGTGCAAAAGGCTTTAGAGGTATCAGTAGATGGGTCGTTAATCGACGTTCTGTCTAGACTAGGGTGCATAACTGTGTTTGAATCTCCACATATTAAAAGGGTACCGCGTTGGTGGGCACTGATGGTCGAGAGGAGGTGTTTGAAGAAGGGGAGTTGTCTGGAGTTGGGGGCGTAATAGGTAGCAATGGTTGCCCTATGTTCTAATTATCTATGAGGTTCTTCCAGCCCCTCTGAGCAGTACGCTCCAATTTTTGCTGGCAGGGGCCCTTAACAAGTCATAATCACCAATAGCCCATACCGCAGAGGACCCTGGGCTGTCGGCCACTATGGGACACCCCGGGTGACTGGGATCCATACCATACTCTTTTTTTTTAGCTTAAGTTGCTCTCATGCTGGTTTATTTTGTCTCCTACCTAACCTTCCCCTGAGATGCCGGGGAGGTGGTCACTGTGCCCCTCCTTTAACCCCTGTTCCGGTCCAACCACCAGTTGGGGGACCTAATTCTGCCCGCAGTTGGGACTCCCAAATAGGGACCGCCCTACTGCTCAGGTCAGAACCTTGTATTTGCACCACTGTTTACTAATATGTTGTTGTTTTTTTCTCTTAGCTCCTCCTCCTATCTACCTTCCTGCTCCCTCCCTTCCTCCACTTCTGACGCTCGAGGTCCACCCGCCTGTTGGTATGTATCTCTCACACCACTTTTTCACCCACCCTGAACATGACACCCGAAATTAAACTTCTTTCACTAAATGTCAAAGGCTTTAACTCCCCCCGCAAACGCCAGATTGCATTTCGCCAATTTCATTCCTCCAAATATGATATACTCTGCCTACAGGAATCACACTTTTCCCGCTCCTCCCACCCAAAGTATTTCCATCCCCACTACACACAGATATTCATGGCCAACGACACATCTAAACATCGGGGGGTACTGATAGGATTCAAAAATTCTATGCAGTTCCAATGCACAAAAGAAATACCAGACCCATCCGGCCGCTATCTAATCCTGATCGGCACCCTATGCGACCGGGAAGTAACCATTGCTACCTATTTCGTTTTTTTTTACAGCAGCAGAGCCGCTGGACAATAGGAAACTAGCTGTCACTGCTAGCTCCGCACAATCGTTTTCTATTGACTTTTTTTTTACTTTTTTAACTATTTTTCTGTTCTGCTCCCTCTGAGGGACAGAGCAGAACAGCCGAGCCTTATTCACTCACTGCTGTTCGGCATCTATAAGAATAGGCCGAACAGCAGTGAGTAGCCTGCCGGAGGTTCGGCTCAGCAGATCCAGATGTTGGATCGGCTGAGTCGAACACCTTCTGCACTTCGGGTCGGCCGAACATGCTGAGCATGTTCGGCCGACCAGAAGCCAAAAAAGAAGCAAGCCGATGTACGGCTGATTTCAGCCGATATACGGCTGAAATCAGCCGTACCAGCCTGAAGTGAATAGCCGAACAGTGTTCGGCTCACTTCACTTCAGGTCGTTCATTCACTCGGCTGCCTACAGCAGCTTAGTGAATAGACCCCTATGTTGCATTTCAGCACTGCTAATCTCCTACAGTCTCTTCTTTGTAGCCACTTCATGGCTACATGCACTTGTTCCAGCAACTGCTGCATGTCATTGCTTAAGGTGGGTTTTTTCATAGTGACAATAGTTGAATATACCTGTGCAATGAGCACTGGCAGGACTGGGTGTAGTATTCATTGGGAGAGAACTTGACAGGGTGACAACTTTTTACATTATTTTAAAGCTTTAAAGTGATATTAAAGTCAAAGGGATTTTTCCTATTCCAAATGCTGAAATCACTTACATGCTCCTTGATGTTTAAATGTTTTAGTTTCCTGCAGAATCAGCTGGTCCTCTAAGCACTGGTCCTGACTTTCTGTTTTAGAGTGACTCCTTTCTCAAGCAGAGTGCTTTCCAGTCACCTTTGTGTGTGCTAGTACGCTGTGCATGTCTCCGCAAACATACAGACACAGCAAATCAAGCTACTCCCCTCCCCCCTGGCCCCATCTCCTCCCACCTCCCTTCTCCAAACTAGTAGATGATTAGTTGCTGGAGTCTGCTCTGTCCCTTGTGATCTTGTACTGGATAGGAAGTTCAGGGAAGTTGAGCTGAGAGACTTGAAGGCAGCTTCAGAAACATGATGATTGTATGTGTTAGGGCAAAAATGTAAAGCAATGCTTTGCTGATCAAGGTATGTTTGTTTGATCCAAATTCAGATTGAAAAAATGTTTTAGAGTTTAATACTACTTTCAGTAAAAGCTTATATGATATTTTAGTAATATTATTACTGAAATATTATTTTAGTAATATGGTTTACATAAACTGTAAGTGGTAGTGATGATAATTGTGGAAGTTTTAAAATCCGCTTAGTGTGATTTGAAAAAAAAATCTTCACACAAGAATAAAACTGGGTGACATTTCAGTGCATTTATAAACCAAAGAGTAACACTAGAATCGGTAACTGAAGCAGGGGGTCTCACACATACTGCCTTGTTTAGGGCCCCATTCGGCCTTAATCCAGCTCTGCATATTATTATTATTATTATACAGGATTTATATAGCGCTAACCGTTTGTGCAGCGCTTTACAATATAAGGAAGACATTACAATCACAAGACAATTCAAGACAAGATGGTAAGGAGGGCCCTGCCCTTGAGGGCTTACAATCTAAAAGGGAGGGGAAGTGATACATGAGGAGGTAGCTGTGTGGGGATAAATGTTTGAGAACGTGATGGTTGAGCGGTTAGGTTGAGGTGGGGTAGGCTTCCCTGAAGAGATGAGTCTTTAGGGATTGCCTAGAGGCAGTCAGAGTGGGAGACAGACAAAGCCATGCGAAGCAAGCCGATGTACGGCTGATTTCAGCCGATATACGGCTGAAATCAGCCGTACCAGCCTGAAGTGAATAGCCGAACAGTGTTCGGCTCACTTCACTTCAGGTCGTTCATTCACTCGGCTGCCTACAGCAGCTTAGTGAATAGACCCCTATGTTGCATTTCAGCACTGCTAATCTCCTACAGTCTCTTCTTTGTAGCCACTTCATGGCTACATGCACTTGTTCCAGCAACTGCTGCATGTCATTGCTTAAGGTGGGTTTTTTCATAGTGACAATAGTTGAATATACCTGTGCAATGAGCACTGGCAGGACTGGGTGTAGTATTCATTGGGAGAGAACTTGACAGGGTGACAACTTTTTACATTATTTTAAAGCTTTAAAGTGATATTAAAGTCAAAGGGATTTTTCCTATTCCAAATGCTGAAATCACTTACATGCTCCTTGATGTTTAAATGTTTTAGTTTCCTGCAGAATCAGCTGGTCCTCTAAGCACTGGTCCTGACTTTCTGTTTTAGAGTGACTCCTTTCTCAAGCAGAGTGCTTTCCAGTCACCTTTGTGTGTGCTAGTACGCTGTGCATGTCTCCGCAAACATACAGACACAGCAAATCAAGCTACTCCCCTCCCCCCTGGCCCCATCTCCTCCCACCTCCCTTCTCCAAACTAGTAGATGATTAGTTGCTGGAGTCTGCTCTGTCCCTTGTGATCTTGTACTGGATAGGAAGTTCAGGGAAGTTGAGCTGAGAGACTTGAAGGCAGCTTCAGAAACATGATGATTGTATGTGTTAGGGCAAAAATGTAAAGCAATGCTTTGCTGATCAAGGTATGTTTGTTTGATCCAAATTCAGATTGAAAAAATGTTTTAGAGTTTAATACTACTTTCAGTAAAAGCTTATATGATATTTTAGTAATATTATTACTGAAATATTATTTTAGTAATATGGTTTACATAAACTGTAAGTGGTAGTGATGATAATTGTGGAAGTTTTAAAATCCGCTTAGTGTGATTTGAAAAAAAAATCTTCACACAAGAATAAAACTGGGTGACATTTCAGTGCATTTATAAACCAAAGAGTAACACTAGAATCGGTAACTGAAGCAGGGGGTCTCACACATACTGCCTTGTTTAGGGCCCCATTCGGCCTTAATCCAGCTCTGCATATTATTATTATTATTATACAGGATTTATATAGCGCTAACCGTTTGTGCAGCGCTTTACAATATAAGGAAGACATTACAATCACAAGACAATTCAAGACAAGATGGTAAGGAGGGCCCTGCCCTTGAGGGCTTACAATCTAAAAGGGAGGGGAAGTGATACATGAGGAGGTAGCTGTGTGGGGATAAATGTTTGAGAACGTGATGGTTGAGCGGTTAGGTTGAGGTGGGGTAGGCTTCCCTGAAGAGATGAGTCTTTAGGGATTGCCTAGAGGCAGTCAGAGTGGGAGACAGACGGACAGGTTGGGGTAAAGAGTTCCAGAGGATGGGAGAAACTGTACAGAAGTCCTGGAGGCGAGCATGAGAGGAGTTGACAAGGGAGCTGGAAAGCAGGAGTTCTTGGGATGAGTGGAGTGTACGGTTAGGGTAATACTTTTAGACAAGGTTTGAGATATAGCCGGGGGCAGAGTTGTGGATGGCTTTGTAGGTGATTGTTAATATTTTGAATTTTATCCTTTGGGTGAGTGGAAGCCAGTGAAGCGGGGATAGTCTGTGTAGTGGAAGGCCAATGAGGAGGGAGTTGCAATAGTCAAGACGAGATTTTACAAGCGAGTGGATGAGTAATTTTGCTGTTTCTTTGGTGAAGAAGGGGCGAATTTTCGAGATGTTACGAAGGTAAGGCGGCAGGATTTGGATATCGAGTGGATGTGTGGAAGAAAGGTGAGGTCTGAGTCAAGAATGACACCTAGGACGCATAGAATACATGTTATGATATTGTAAGTGTATCTAACTGTAGAAAGATTTATAGTCATGAGGTGACACAAAATGTAGCTTGGGAACGCATAACTGAAGTTTAACTCTGGGTTTGGTGGATGTTAAATACATAGCTGTGATTTGCTTTAGTGACTCTTCTACCTTTTGCAACTTTTGGGGGGTTTAGTAGTCTATTGTAAGTTTACTTTCACCAATATCTTTTCCCTTATCCAAACCTGGCTCCACAGACAAAGTCTCTACAACATAACACACCGAACCCTAAATTCTAAAGTCTGTGATAGAATGTACCACCATAAACATTTCAGAAAACAGAAAAAAGGCTGTTGTTTTTTTTTTTTTTTTATAACACACTTTTAACAGCTGCACAGCATTTTGACAAATACTTCTAACAGCTGCAGCAATCATAAAGAAGCTTAAAGTGAAACATCAAAAAATGCAATTAAAAAAGCATTTAAATTGTATGTGTTTTTGTGTTCTGTTGGCTTATATATGCTATTTGTGACTGGAACAGATGTAGCTTTTGGGGAATCTAAGTTATGTTGTTCTTTCATATATCAGCCTATGATCATTCACTTGAATGATCACGGAGACCTTGGGAAAATGTTATCCCAAACTTCCCTTCTTCTTGTTCAATACCAATGTATCATTCATCAGAATAACACTTTAATAAATGTCCTCCTCAGGTAACTTGATAAATACTGTGATAGATACAAGAGGTTGTGTCTGCTGAAGTAAAATTCATATGAAGAATACATACCGGAGCAAAGACTGTTGGGGTTAATATGTGTGTGTTGGGACTTATGGCACAATGTTAGAATAATTTAAATTGGGAAAAAGAGAATAGCTAGATGATGGAAGAGTAAGGGTCAGGAGACAGACGGACAGGTTGGGGTAAAGAGTTCCAGAGGATGGGAGAAACTGTACAGAAGTCCTGGAGGCGAGCATGAGAGGAGTTGACAAGGGAGCTGGAAAGCAGGAGTTCTTGGGATGAGTGGAGTGTACGGTTAGGGTAATACTTTTAGACAAGGTTTGAGATATAGCCGGGGGCAGAGTTGTGGATGGCTTTGTAGGTGATTGTTAATATTTTGAATTTTATCCTTTGGGTGAGTGGAAGCCAGTGAAGCGGGGATAGTCTGTGTAGTGGAAGGCCAATGAGGAGGGAGTTGCAATAGTCAAGACGAGATTTTACAAGCGAGTGGATGAGTAATTTTGCTGTTTCTTTGGTGAAGAAGGGGCGAATTTTCGAGATGTTACGAAGGTAAGGCGGCAGGATTTGGATATCGAGTGGATGTGTGGAAGAAAGGTGAGGTCTGAGTCAAGAATGACACCTAGGACGCATAGAATACATGTTATGATATTGTAAGTGTATCTAACTGTAGAAAGATTTATAGTCATGAGGTGACACAAAATGTAGCTTGGGAACGCATAACTGAAGTTTAACTCTGGGTTTGGTGGATGTTAAATACATAGCTGTGATTTGCTTTAGTGACTCTTCTACCTTTTGCAACTTTTGGGGGGTTTAGTAGTCTATTGTAAGTTTACTTTCACCAATATCTTTTCCCTTATCCAAACCTGGCTCCACAGACAAAGTCTCTACAACATAACACACCGAACCCTAAATTCTAAAGTCTGTGATAGAATGTACCACCATAAACATTTCAGAAAACAGAAAAAAGGCTGTTGTTTTTTTTTTTTTTTTATAACACACTTTTAACAGCTGCACAGCATTTTGACAAATACTTCTAACAGCTGCAGCAATCATAAAGAAGCTTAAAGTGAAACATCAAAAAATGCAATTAAAAAAGCATTTAAATTGTATGTGTTTTTGTGTTCTGTTGGCTTATATATGCTATTTGTGACTGGAACAGATGTAGCTTTTGGGGAATCTAAGTTATGTTGTTCTTTCATATATCAGCCTATGATCATTCACTTGAATGATCACGGAGACCTTGGGAAAATGTTATCCCAAACTTCCCTTCTTCTTGTTCAATACCAATGTATCATTCATCAGAATAACACTTTAATAAATGTCCTCCTCAGGTAACTTGATAAATACTGTGATAGATACAAGAGGTTGTGTCTGCTGAAGTAAAATTCATATGAAGAATACATACCGGAGCAAAGACTGTTGGGGTTAATATGTGTGTGTTGGGACTTATGGCACAATGTTAGAATAATTTAAATTGGGAAAAAGAGAATAGCTAGATGATGGAAGAGTAAGGGTCAACATTGCTTTTATTTGTTGAAGATCACTACAACAGGAGATAAAACACAAGCAAGCCCCATACTAAGTAGTATTAGTCAGAGGCTAGAGAAGAAGGGAGTAAGGATTATTTTGTGAGTAGGAATTCCCATTTAGAAAGTATAGTACAGGTTAAGAAGAAGTATTGTGTCTATAATGAACATCGCAGGAAGCAGAAACAACTCAGCATGGGTGATTTTCTGAGTCTACAGTGATGCTGTAAAGTCTGTTTTATTGTTGGAGTGTAATGTTTGTGCTTGGAAAGAAACATATGAATGCTTGGACCTTTATGACCTGCTTATACCAATGCGTGCTGGAAACATGGACATTACTGCATCGCATGGTAACATGAACTATGTATGTTGGTGTGGTGGCATTATGAATAGCAGCTCAACGCACCTTACCAACATACCTATGTTGCAGAACAATGCAATGTGCAGTGACACACTACCATGCATTGTGGTGTGTTGAAAATGCTGCATGCACAAATTTTGGTTAGTGGTGGTGTGTTAGGCAGTTCTTTCAAATGAATGGCCTGCCCTAATCCAATGAATGTTAACGCATGTGTGTTTAATGCATTGCAGCGGGCCAGGCTGGTGTATAGCATTGTGAAATGTATACAACTGAAGAACTTCTGTGTTATCAGATTTGGACTGTGGGAGGACTTTCATGGAACAAAGTGCTTCCATTTCTTTTGGTTTGGTGATTTATTGAAACAGTAACACTGGTAGATATTGTATAATTGATTAAAAGGTAGAATCACCAAGTGTATGTAAAGTAAAATCTGTGCTTTGCTTATGCAGGGCAAAACAAGATTTGAATGCAGACTTCATTAAATCCTCCCTTACTTTCTTTTTGCCGCCCCGACTGTTCTGTCCAGCCATCAGGCGGGAAAGAAAAGCCCACTGTGAACTAGAAATCACAGAAGTTGTAGCATGCACAGGGCTATGGACTGCCCATGTGACAGTGATGATTGGCCCATGATGTCACATGTAGTGTCATATGCTCCTCCTTTGCTGGAAGTATTGTGTAATCAGAGGCGTAACTACTGTAGAAACTTCAGGGCCCCGGTGCAAGAAATCATGAAGGGCCCCCCCGCCATGGGAAGACACTATAAACAGGCACCGTTTGGTTAACAAGAAGGCTGTTGAGGTGCTCAGCAAGTGCGGGACTTTAGGCAGTCGCTTCAGTTAAAAATGGTAGTGCCTGTGTTCTTTCAAGAACACTGACCCAGTATCTGCACTTGCGCACAGATGGGATTAAAGAGGAAACCGGCATTTATTTGCAAAGTATTAGTTTGTATTTGTTAATTGTGTCTGTTAATAATATGCCATCCATGGCAGTAAATGATAGATGCCATATTATTAATGGTCACAATTAACGATTAACAATAAATACTTTGTCGATAAATCCCTGTTTCCTCGATAGTACTGGTCTGCTGAGGTCAGCAAATTGGACTAGGTCGGCATTCTCGACAGAACACTGCTATCTGTGCTTAGTATCTGGGCATTTTCACGAGTACGAGTTGAAATGCCCAGTATTGGCACTGGTGCATCCCTACTTAATAATATAATGTATTGCTGGGACTTGCAGCCCTGCATAGTTGGTGCTATTCTGCATTGCTGTATAATCATTATACAGTGATGCAGAATACCACCAGCTATGCAGGACTACAAGTCCTAGCGATACATTATAATGAAAATATACTGCCAGCTTCTCCCTCCCCACTGAATACCCCCAGCTTCTCCCCCGCCCCCCATTCCCGGTCCATGCTTCACCCACACCAGACTTACCTGACCATTGAAGCACCTTCTTCCGCGTCTCGGCAACCAGGGGGCGGGACTAAGTTGGGAGGTCCTCTCCCACACAGCTTGGCGGTGCCTGCAGCACATTCTGCTTGACAGATCACAGGCACAGCCTCTCCAACCCCACCACACAGCCACCTGTACATTTCCCACTTCTACTGCTGCGGGTGGCAGAGCAGAGGGGAAGGAGCGGCACTATGGGGGGGCGGGGCGGCATGAGGGAGCTGCGGGCCCTCTTCTTCTTCTCTGGGCCCCCCCAACAGGCGGAACACCAGGGCCCGGTCGCAATTGTGACTGATTTGACCCTGGTAATTCCGCCAGTGTGTGTAATACCTTCAGCTCCTGATGCTGAATGGAGTGGCGGGGGAGCAAAGAAAAGGTAAGTATATGCTGATGGGGATAGGGGGATTAAAGCAAATGATTTCAAAATAGGCCAATCTGTTGGGACAACATACTTCTTTCTATTTAGGACAGCAGTGTGTCTGTAACATATAAATGAAGATCCCTATAAATACATTTCCATTTGAAAATTAGGAGCCTAGATGATTCCTAGGAATGTAGGAATGAGGTATGTTTTGCAAGCTACAGTTTTATTCAATCCATCATATTGATTGCTCACAATATTATTATTTTTTTTATTTTCTTTAATGTTATCAGTCCTGCATAACCAATTCATAAATATCTCACATGTAATATATTATGACCATTTATGCTGAATTTTCATACTTCTTGTAGCAGAACATGCAATAACACACAGGAAATGTAAAAATTGCTACCAACCTTTCTATTAATAATTACTTATGGCTATAGATTAGCAGTCAGATTATGATATACAAGTAATACACAGTACCTGCAATCATTTTCATGCTTTAACTTGGCAATTTCATCTTGGAAATCAGGAAACAGTAAGTAGCTTGTAGATTCCACTAACATCACCCTGATGGAAACACAAATACATGTTTTTGATAAGATGAGTAAATGCTGCATCTAAATAATTTAAACGTGAATAATTTTAACAAACTCTTTAAAGATGGCAACTGCTTTCTTATTTTGACAACACAAAGATTCTGATATTTAAAATGTTAAAACATTTTGAGTTTTAAGTTCACTGCTTACATATTTTAAGAAGCCATCCTATCAGATAAGATTTTTTTTCAATTTTGCAGCTGTCAAAGAGAGCTATAATGTTATAAAGCTTCAAGGGAAAATTGTAAAAAAAACATAATAATAATCAGATTAGTGGGTGTGTACATCATACCAGCACAAGCAAAATGTTATAAAACTGTCTGTGTTATAGAATTGTTTGGGTGTTAAGAAAAAGCATTAGCATTAATATTAGGCTTGAGGCAAAGTTAAGTTTTCAAAAGAATCTTTGTGTTTTTTCAATTAGACCTCAAGCAGAAGGGAATCATTTAAATGTTCCTTTTATCTATACAGTAATACAATAATACTGTTCTAAAACAGAAAAAAATATATGCATATGATAACTTTACATAATTCCCGCGATATCGTGGCAAATTACCGCGCGATATCGCGATCCAATGCATTTCAATGGGGCAAAGGGTCCTGCTGTCGCGGGTCGTGTGTCGCTACAGCAGGACCCTTTTTGGAGCGGATTTAGCCGCGATTCAAGCTTGCTCAATGCAAACTTGAACGCGATATCGCGCGGCAAATCTCGCAATGTCGCGCAATATGCAAATCGCGCGACAAGCGATTTGCATATCGCGCAGTGGGAACGGGGCCTTAGGGGGAGCATTTAAGACTTCTGGATTTCTGACGTCGAAAGAATGTTATTTGTGTACAGTTGTGATAAGAAATGTCCTGGGAGTTTTTTTGTATGTTTTGAGCATTATGCCGCTAACATATTTATTCAAAAGTTAAACATGACTTTAACCACACTGTCTTCATCACTTTATTTAAGAGGACATATGACCCGCTTCATAACTGAGTTTTGGTGGTATTTGTCTCAGCATCTTAGTACTGGCAAGATCATGACTGGACATTGTTGATATTTGTCTCAGCATGTTTATGTTGTCATGTTTACCACTGGTCATTTGGGAAGTTTGTCTCAGCAGCTTAAAGGAGTTATCCTAAGGGTAACGAGAGGACACAAACTAGCGTCCTCCCATCACCCTAAGCTCAGTATACCACGAGCTACAGCTCGCGGTATACTGAGACACTGCAGCTGAAACAGATCCCGACAATTATGTCTGGATCCGCCCAGCTGTGTGAGTTATAGCTAGCTCTGCCTATCTACCCGTCCGTCCTGCCAGTCAGCGCTGGAGGATTGGAGCAGGGAGGGGGGAATCCAGCCCCTCCCCTGTCACGGCTCTCTGTCGTGACAGGATCAAGAAGTGAGCGAACGCCGGTATGTGTTTGCTCACCTCCCGATCCACTGAGCCGACCTGTGACAGTTTCATTGTCACAGGTCAGCTAGAACTATGAGGATGAGTGAAAAGCACTCAACTCATAGTTCTCCTTTAATGATGGCAAATGTGCATCTGGTCATTGGTGAAGTAAATCTTAGACTCTTAATGCTGGGAAGTGCACAGCTGGTAAGTGGTGATGTTTCTTTTCAGCATCTTAGTACTGAAAGTTCTAAACAGAGAATACTTAATAATGGAGATAGGGAGATTTAGGGAGTAAGTACACACCTATTTGGAGAATTTAAGGATAGGTATACCCAAGTATTTGCACATATCTGAGTATGTGTTGTAGGGACAATAGGACTGAGAGCTTCATTGGAAAAAAGGAAAGGTGTTGAAGTATACTGTGCAATACCAAAAAATATTTATTTCAGTTTATTTCACCATGGAAGATTATAGCACTCACTCGAATTTCCCATTTTCCTTGTAGGGGTTTTGAACAGACAAAGCAAGCTTTTCCAGCTTGTAACACGGAGACTCCTGCTTTAGCTGGACCTAACGATGCATAAAAAGAGAGAGACATACAGAATTGATGGTGATGTGAGAAGGAAAGGAGAAAGGAAAAGAGCGATGACTCTACAATTCGAATGGTTTCTGTAATTTATTTTTTGCTCCATATTTCATTGATCAGCCCTTCTGTACAGTTATAACCGCGCCGTGAAATTATTCTGGGTGCTAATACTTCTGCACTTCTATATTCTTAACACTCATTTTGTGAGACTTTTATTTTCAACATAACATAATATTTATGATTTGATCAAACTGTAGATATCTTGAGGTTATCACTCTATGCTTTGAAAGCTATTTCCAATGTAAATGTCATGCTGTTCTCCTTTCTGTCTCCTGTTAGATGCACCAATGACAGCTGCAGAAGGGCAGCCAAAGAATAACTGTCAAGATACCAAAATGAGAATAATCAATGATAAATAATGACTTCAGCTTCCTTTTATCCCAAGACTCCCATTACCCTGTTTTAGTCTAAAAAGATATACAGTATTGGTTCTTAAGATATTTACACAAAAATACTCAATTATGATTATGATAATCTGTATATTAGACTATGCGCTATCACTATAGTAATAACTGTTAAAATATAAAGGGGTACCAACCTAATGTATTTAAAAACAAATGCAAAGAAAACTATTGTTACAGAGTTTACTGAAGCATGTAGGTTAACTCACTTCCTAACTTCTCAGTGCACAAATCATCTGTGACAAGAATTAAAATGAGCTTGTATTCTTCACTGCACTTGGGAAGCAGATCTAGGAACCCCAGAAGAAAAATGTAGAGTGATACATCTAATATCACAGAAACGTTTAACCCACCTGCGTCCTCAAAAAAGGGACATATCAGAGATGTTTGGGCTTTTATTTAGGATTGCCTTTTAACAGTTAGCCAAGCCACTGCAGTGTAGCATTGTAGAATTGAGAGCAATAGCATATTATCCAAGGTATGCCATGCTACCAGATGAATGTAATGTTCTCACTGTGATGTTGTGGTACTACTACAATGTGCTGATTATTGCTCTGTCTAGGGCTTGAGGCAGCATTAATCCTATTCTGCTTCAATTCAATAGCTGAGACAATACAGTTATTTTAGATGTATTGGTTAATAAAATCCTAGCTCATTTAGTTCTAGCATATCTATGCAACAGGTATATTCAAATATATGAGTGAAAGTGATATAATGTAATTTATTCATCATCACTTTCATTGAAATGCTCATGACGAAAATATATTACAGAATTCTTCTCCCAGACACCTTACAAATCACTCATCTATAAACTTTACTTAGAAGATGACAGGGTATCACAATAAAAAATTTCCGGTTAAATTATACTCAACAAAAGTGAGGAATTACTACAGCTTTTCCAGAACAAATCAAACACTCCATCAGTTTAAAGAAGCTATATAGTGGTTTTGTACATAATTGTTTTATTGAGTATGGTCTAGACTGAAAGACTTTTGTATTTACTGAAAAATCTTTTTTTGTGAAGTCTATTGGGGGGACACAGGATTGTTGTAAATTTTGGTCATGATGGTTATACTTCCACCTACAGGAGGTTTTGAATACTGGCTAACAAAAAATGTTAAGTCAGCCCCTTATAATCCTCCCTCCCTCCGTCATGCATCAGTTTTGTAAAAAGCAGTGCATAAGGCCAAGAACACAGAGGGGCTTGTGTCCCTAAATGGACTTCAAGAAAATGTTTTTACGATAAGTACAAAAATCCCAGGTATGGTAGCAGTTTTAGTTGTCGAAGGCACCTGAGTTTGCTTAGAATCCATGCGGTTGGTTTTTGTATCATTTGTGTACAGACCGATAACAAATCCAAAGTGGATATTAGAGATCTGGTATGTATATATGAAGGTTGAGGTTCATGTTGGGAGCAGTAAATGACTTCAGAGAGGATGATTCTAGTAATAGAGGTCCCAGCAACTATGTTAGGGGTGTCAGTCTCTTTAGGGAAAACCAAGAAATTGCTGCAATTAGCAACAAATCAGTATAGGCCTAGGTCACCCGTTGCAGTGGGACTGTCCTCAGTGCATCCTTACAAAAACATGTTGCAAAGCAGAAAACAACTCGGCCCACAGTAATGTAAGGCCTTGCATACTCACAAACTGAAGCAGCTGGTGCTGATGTGGATCGCAAGCAGCCAGATGTGACCAAGTCACTAAAGGCAGGCAGCGGAACCAGACCAGATGGCCCACAAGGTACCAGAGAATCAGGAGCCACAACAGGAGAGCCGTTTGTCTAGGCTGAAAAGGCAAATTTACAAAGACTGGAGAAGGGAAAAACTGTTCTTGTTTTCTCCATGGCACCATTCCTTTAGGCTTTGTGTATTTCGCCCAATTTAATTTATTTTAAAAAGATTTTTACTTGGAACCTACTGCATATTTTCACTATGCGTTATTTTAACTTTAGTGTTAAAAAAATAATTAAAAAAATAGTGTGACCCCAAGTAAATAGTTCAAGAAATAAATAGCTGCCATTTGCCCATACTTGCTTTGGAGTGTATTAAATACCAATACTTACAGTGGGGGCCAAATCAGTCAGCCTTGCATGGAGGGAGAAAGCCACCGTGGTTCCACCTGCTCCATTAGCTGGTCTAGATACCAATAACAGAGTTGCTTCAGCAGAATGCAAGAAACGGCTTCTATAGTGTACAGTTATGTCCGCTTGGCTCCTGTAAAAAGTATACATTTATAGTTTAATAATTGCATCACATACCTAAACAAGTATTCACATATCACCTATTGTTTGTGGGTTGCCTAAAGATAATGCATTGTGGTTATGCATATCATTTATTTCTTTTTTGGCAGTACTGAAGAAAAATATTTTTACTGTCAGAATATGAAATATTGCATACCAAGATTTTATGAATCCCTTTTGTGCCAGCAAGTGGAGTTTTTTTCATATGGTTAGCTATTTTGATAAAATAACTTGATTTGAGTTGATTACAGAACTCAGTAGCTAAAGCTAAATGAGTTGGAGGGATGAATTATCAGATGCCTTAGTCCCAGGTTTAAACCAGAGAAATAGTGGCCTCGAGGCAGGCTACTTCTGCTGTGTCCTGGAAATCTTTTGGGCTTGTTTTATAAGCCCTCCAAACAGGGAACAGCTCTGTGAAGGAGATTTGCATTGCATTATGGCCACTAAATAGAGCCTAGAAGCACATACATTGCCTTTGCTCCTTAGCTATATCAAGTGTCCAATATGTACTCTGAATCTTATTTATAGAGCTATTCAGATGCTTGAAGATGCTTTATAAATCAACCTATGTATCTCATGTTATGTAAATAAAGTGGACATGATTGCAATTTAACACATCTCTGTCCTTATAACTTTGAACAGAAAAAATCCTTGCAATGCCTATGTCTTTTTAAAGTGTATTTCAACTGACTTTTTATGATGTAAGCTGCCAGCTCAGTTGTAATAAAGGCACCCCAAAGTGCCTGCAAACAGTTTCAGTTCTTTTAGAATATTTAATAGAGCAGAAACATAGGGTGCCCTACTATGCACATACAGTCTTTAGCCTGTTAATATGTTGGGTATCCTTACTTACCAATGGTAATGCGAAGCACTGACTTCCTAGATAATATTGGTATTTCCATAAGAGGGCACCCCAGGTTTCAGGGCTTCTATAGACCTAGAAAATGTATTTTGTAGTATGATATCAGCTACCTGATGGCCTGCCAATACCGTGTTTCCCCGAAAATAACACACTGTCTTATATTTTTTTGGGCTCAAAAAAACACACTAGGTCTTATTTTCGGGGGAGGTCTTATTTATTTATTTTTTTCAATTTATGACATTTCAAAGTTAATGAAAATCCAAATTAAATAATCCAAAATGACAAAGTTAAGAATAGGGTGATCAGGGCAATCAGGGGTGCCGTACCTTTCCAAGAGTAATTTGGTAACCAGAATGAGTGTAGCGCACGTTTACTATAGATTCCTCACAGGCGGAGTGCATTTGGTATCATTCCGCCTGTGACAGGAGCCGGCTCTATAGAGGAAGCATCGGCTTATGCGGCTCTGCTCCCTGTGCTGCCGCCTCGCTTCCTCTAGCGCTGGCTTCGTTGGCACCGCTGATTCTCTCCTGCCTCTCCCGCAGCTCTTCAAGTTCCCCTTATGCCACCACCGGCCCTAGGAATGGTCACAACTAGGTCTTAATTTCGGGGTAGGTCTTATATTTTAGCAATTCCCAAAAATTGTACTAGGTCTTATTTACGGGGTAGGTCTTATTTTTGGGGAAACAGGGTATATGTTGACTCTTGTGCCGGCATAACTTCTAGAAAGCCAAAATAGATCTACTTTGACATAGGCCTAGTGTAACCTAGTATGAATGCATTATTCAGCTTCCCATTTGTATATGTTAATACATTGATTGTTACAATGGAATCCCATCTCCTTACTATACAGACAGTCCTCCCTCTCTAAACTACACTTTGGTTGGCAGACTGTATTTCTAAAGCAGTAGGAGAGAGGGAGATAATCGAATTTTAGTAGTCAGATTATTACTGAAACAGAGGTTGGGGTGTTGGTTTATGAAAAAGGAGTTATACATTCCTCAAATAGCAGAGTATAGTTTAAATGTGTGGCCACTGGAGCAGAGTAAGAATGAGCAGTGGTTTAATCCTTCAGTTTTCATTCTTAATTTAGTATTTGATAGTATCTGAAACTCAAGTTACTTACAATTTAGGGGGGAAAAAAACTTGCATCACTGCCTTACAAAGGTCCATAAAAAGCAATGTTTACAATTAAAGCTTTATACATATTTAAAGACTGATATCATTTATCTGTGAGATGATGGCACATTACCTATTAGCACACTAGGATGGATGTCATATGGACCAGGTGCTTAATTTATTCATCTTAATTTTGCATAGGCAAGAATGCACCTCCTCTTTTGTTTAGCAAGTCATATTAAATAGGTAGCTTTAGCTACATCTCTCTGCCACATTATCTGGCACTGGTAATCCATTTGCTGTGCTAAATACTGTAGCAAGCACAATGTATACATTAGGCTCTACATGTTATTTGTGTACACTCCTTTCTTGGGCAAACCAGACATCCCTAATAGGAACAATAAGTACCCATGCCCGTTTCATTGCTTTAGTAAATTCTTGTTGGATGGCTATAGTTTTTTTAACCAGCTAGAAGGACAATTGGTTGATAAACCATCAAGATCATAAATAATTGTATTTATTGTACTTTTGATGTCAGAAATCTTTAGGTTGTTGGTGCAACAGTACCTTATATTGTAGCTAATCAGACTGAGAGGGTCATATACAGTAGGTTACAGGCTGGTTTAAAGATAAGCCAATGTAAGCAAGCTAAAATTCCTAAATATTATTGGCTACCTAGGAGTAAATCAGTTGAACAGAAATAAACACAACATATGTCAAATCATGAATCCATGAAAAGCATAATAACTTTGTTTATACAAGTGCATAGCAACCATAAAATATTACACAGCTAGAAGCTATTCCTGAGTTTATATGAACTATCAAGTAATTATAATGGAATTATTTTTTATGTCAGAGTACTATTTGAACAATATGTATAATATGCATAATGCTAATTAGGACTGAATTAGATGATTTCTTTGCTTTGCATACAAGACTGTTTTCTGGTATGTTTCTTATACACCCGTTTGATTGCTTCATTAATATATCAAAGCTGTCCTAAGGGATTAGAAACGGCTGCCAAGTAGGCTATTAAGGAATAAACTATAAACATATAGAAAGTTTTACATTACTGCTTTGTTAACAAAGCACAATAATAGCATTATTTTTATGTATATTCATTTCTGAACATTGTTTAATCAAGCACTGGTCACAGAAGCATCTATAGAACTGAAGGATTGCATAGGGTGCAAATAGATATGGCAATTTCTAATGCCTATTATAAGTTTGAAAGACATGGGCAGCCTATCTATGGAATTTTAAAAAATGCTGAGTTTCCTTGTGAGAACAATTAAAGCATTTGCAGATATTTGTGAAACTCCACAAGCTTATTGGATACCACATAGAGGGTTATTCACAAAGCTGCCAAAGGCAGCCGAGTGAATAACCAACCCAAAGTGAAGTGAGGCTTGCTTGCTTACAGTGGCTTATCATAGGGCTTGTACAGCTGTTTTCAGCCGTACACCGACTGAAATCAGCTGAAATCAGCCGTACATCGGCTGGCTTCGGTTCGGCCAACATCTGGATCGACTCAGCTGAACCTACAGCAGGCTACTCGCTGCCGTTCGGCCTATTCTCATAGTGGCTATTCTGCTCAGTACCTCCGTGGTACAGAGCAGAATAGAAAATAAGTGCAAACAGTAGAAAAAAAAGAAAAGTAGAAAAAAATGTTTAACCCCTTCATGATTGAGTTTGTTTTTAGTTTCTGTTCGTAAATGACTGACACACTTTTCACATTTTTGCTGTGTGATTCTTCCACGTCAGTAATATACTTTCTTACAAACTGCACCCACACATATTATATATTGTTTTTTAGAGGACAGATAGGGCTACATATTTATATCACATATGTGTGTCTAACGCCTCACTTAGGACAAATAAAATATAAAAAAAGAGGAAAAAACAATTTAAAAAAACCCTTTTTCCCAGTTTTGATTTGTAGTATTTTTTACAAAACCAGCACAGCTTAAAAAAATGCAATAAATACATTCATTTATTTGTCCTTTTATTTTTATTTTTTTTACACTTTTCTTTTCTTTACACTTTTCACTATTTCTCTTTTTTTACACTTTTCACTATTTTTTAAAAACTTTAAAATGTTTTATTTATTTAATTATATCAAGCAGTCATTGTGGATGAATCTCACTATTACTGCTTGATAAATTAATACATTTTTGGTTATTATTAGGCTGTTTCAAACTTCAGAACAGCCAATAATAAGTTAGTGACACTGATCCTGCAGCACTTCAGGATTCAGCTGTCACTAAAGGTTTTGTGATCGTTCCAACAACGATCAGAAAACTGAAACATTCTTCTCTTCAGGAATAGATACATTATGTATCTGTTGCTGAAAGTGAAAGGGAAAAAAAGCCAGTATACGATCGAAAGAGATATCTCTAGATCTAAACGAGCTGTCAGAATGCCGGCTTTTGCCGGCATGTTTGCCCGCTCTGCTTTGACTCTCAGACACTCGATATTAAGATATCAGGTGTCTGAAAAAGGTTAGCCCTTTCATTAATGGATGCCTCTATACAGAGGCATCCATTAAGGAATGGTAACCGCTGATTCTCAGCAGTTACCAGCCCTCTAATGCAGCAAATAACTCGTCACGTACAGTGTATGCGACAAGTCATTTGGTCCCTTTGTGGCGGGACGTCTCCCGTCACGAAGGGGTGAAACAGGTGAATAAATGATAACTCCTAAAAAATATATAAAGATTTCCAAAACAAAAGGAAAAAAAAGATTAAAAACAAAAAAACAAACAATAAAGATCATTGAAAAAAATAAAAATAAAATAAAGATTATTGAATAAAGAAAAAAACACATAAAAAAAGATAGAAGCAGTTGGGCGGAGCTAGCAGTGACAGCTAGCTCCACCCTACTGTTTCCTATTGGCCGAGACCTGCTAGAGTTTTCTAGCAGGTCCCAGCCAATGAATAACAACTTGGTGGAGCCGGCGGTGATCTCACTCCTGGCTCCGACCAGTTGCAATGACA